AGGGTCTCTGGACCCGAAATGTTAACACTGACTTTTTCTTCACAGATGCTGCCAGACCTGCTGAGCTTTTCCAGCAACTTCTGGTTTTGTTCCTGATTTACAGCATCCGCAGTTCTTTAAGTTTTTACTCTTTGTTTAAGCTCATCTTTCTAACTTTTGGATGCTGATTTGGATTTGGACATGTGTTAAGGTGAGTATAAATAGACAGTGATTAAAACTGTGTACGATGGAAAGGATCTGAGCTGCTGGAGCCAGGGAAATGTCACACAGTAAAAAGTCATGCAATACCTTTCCAAAACAGAGCTTGAGAAACTTCCTTAGCTGGAGAATGTTTATTGTTACAACTCACTGGGGCAACACTCTGAAAATCAGGCCCCGCTGTTCCTGGAATGGTCACAAATGCGAAAGATTTTATAAATTGCACACAATGGCCCTTGTTCTCAGGGTTTGCAGAGATGTTCCTTTTGACTTGTCAGGACTTTCTTACTCCTAGTCTTGCTTCTCCAGGTACTTTCACTGACTTGCAGGAGTCGTAAGGAACTGGCTCATATTTGGAAAGTCTCTGACTTACTGGCTAAGAAATCGCAGCTTACAGAACTGGTGCAGGAAAAATAAATTGGCCTTCTTCGGACCTGAGGTGGTTTTTAATATGGAGAGAAAAAAAACACAGTCCCTTCTTTCTCAGAGATCTCATGGCTTCTCCCACAAATATTCATACCACAAGCTGTTCAATTACCTGAAACACGTAGCTGCTGGCTGTAAGAATGGCTTTGTGGGCAAAAGCTGGATGCCTTACCACAGACCAATCAGCTACTTGTTGCCAACCAAAGGTAGATTTGCATATAGCCTTTGGCCCCAGCTTGTCTTGCTTCAGTACTTTGGTCCTAACTACTTACGATATACATAAATGACCTGGTGGAGGGAAACATACAACATTTCCAAGTTTGCTGATGACACAAAGTTACGTGGGACTGTGTGCTGTGACGGGGGGGGATCATGACAAGTTGACTGAGTGGGTGAACACGTTACAGATGCAGTATAATGTGGATAAATGTGGAGTTATGCTTTTTGGAATGAAAAGTAGAAAGGCATGGTATTACTTACATGGTGATATATTGGGAAATGTGGGTGTATAAAGGGATCTGGCTGTCCTTGTGCACCAGTCAGTGAAAGTGGACAGGCAAGTGCAGGAAGCAATTAGCAAGGCAAGTGATATATGGCCATCGTTACAAGGGAATGTGAGTTTAGTTGTAGTGATGTCTTGTTGCAGTTCTACAGGGCCTTGGTGAGCCCTGAAGCTTTGTGTGCAGTTTTGATCTCCCTACCTAAGAGAGGAAATACCTGCCACAGAGGGAGTGCAGCAGGGGTTCACTAGGCTGATAGTGGATGGCAGGACTGGCCCAAGGGGAGAGGTTGGGTTGACTAAGACTGTATTCACTGGAGTTTAGAAGAATGAGAGGGGATCTGTTTCAAATGTGTACAGTTATAACTGGGCTGGACAGACTAGATTGAGGGAAGATATTTCCCCTGGTTGGGATGTCTAGAACCAGGGGGCTGCAGTTTCAGGCTATGAGGTAGGCCATTTAGGACTGAGGTGAAGGAACTCAGAGGGTCGTGAGCCTATGGTATTCGCTGCCATTGAAAGTAGCAGAGGTCAGATTGCATCAGTTTATTCAAGAAAGGGACATATAAATTTTTAGACATTGAAGGCTTTAAGGGGTATGGAGAAAAAGCAGGAATATAGCATTGAGGATCAACCATGATCATATTGAATGGTGAAGCAGGCCAAAGGGCCTAAAAGCTCTACTCCTGCTCTTAGTTCCTATGTTTCTATGTCTGTAACTAAATGACCTCCCACCCCCACCCCAGCTTGAACAAACAGCAGTATAAACAGCTTTTGAATGAGCATCAGGTAACTGCTTTTCAAAACTGCAGTAATCCTTTCCACAACCATTGGTTTTCAAAACAATCTGATCCATTTCAGCCCATAATCAATCACCTGGAGGAAATTTGGCAGAAAGCAAGTAGGGCCAGTTAGTTGAATGCACTGCATAAAGTGGAAGGATTATTATATTGTCAAAACACAGATAACCAGATGGCCAAATTCAAAATACTGGGTCTAGCCACTAAGCCTTCTTAAGCTATTATATAGAGGCACTCATTGCAATACAGTGCACCTCCAACAAATTCCATTTTTAGCCTTCTTCAGTCTCTTCAATATCAATTAACACCCATCAGTTGAATACGACCATCTCCCAGTTCAGTTACAATTAACAGGTTCCCTTCTGTCTCTTGAAACAAATAAAAGGGCAGGTTTTCTTAAGGGGATTCAATGATTGGGTAAAATTCAGATCTGCTGATTTTCTGAAAATAATTATCGTCTTCTTTGTTAAGTTTCTTTTGTTCTATTTTCATGGAAGGTCAACTCAACCAATAAGTATCTCAGTAGAGATTACATCAGTATTTATAATCTGGCTTTTTCCAAACTTTTCATGTGGAACTACCACTCAAGTGGCTTCACATGTTGCCTTTACCAAACCCAAAGCAACTAGTGTGTTTGTACATAGAACATAGAGTCCCTGCAGCATGATAGCAGGCCATTCAGCCCATTGAGCTCACACCAACCCTTTGAAGGGCATCCCACCCTATCCCTGTAACTCTGCATTTCCCATTGTTAGTCCTGCACATTGCTGGACATAATGGGCAATTTAGTATGGCCAATTCAACTAGCCTGCACATCTACTGGACTGTGGGAGGAAACCAGAGTACCCAGAGGAAACCCACACATACATGGGGAAGAGTGTGCAAACTCCACACAGACAGTCACCCAAAGGTGGGATCAAACCCAGGTCCCTGGTGCTGTGTGGCAGCAGTGCTAACCACTGTATCACCCCTGGTATCTTTGTATTCTTTAACCACACAATATTATGATCGCATCATAGAGTATAGAGATCTACAACACATTAAAAGGCCCTTCAGTCCATCAAGTCTGCACTGGTCAAAAATAACCATCTAACTACTCTAATCCCATTTTCCAGCACTTGGCCCATTGTCTTCCATGACTTGACATCACAAGTGTATATCTAAATACTTCTCAAAAGTTATGAGGCTCTACCATTATCTCTACCACCTTTACAGGCAGTGAGTTCCAGATTCTTACCACCTACTGGGTGAAAAACTTTACCTCACATCTCCTTTAAATCTTCAGATCCTTACCTTAAATCCATGCCCCCTGCTCATTGATTCCTGCACCCCATCAAAGGGCAATGTAGATTTCCTGCCTACCCTGTCCATGCCCCTCATGATTTTACAAATCTCAGCCACATTCCCCCTCAATCTCCTCTGCTGCAAGGCAATCAAGGTAGCACATCGATAGTTGTGAGGTAAATTGGTTAATGCAGTTAAATGGTAAATCTAATGTAAATTTGTTAATCTCACAATTGAACAAGTCTGCAACTAATACATTAATCACAGCTCTAAAAATCACTTGTAACCATTACAGGCTGTTCATCATTGTAGTCACCATCACAGTTATCGTCTTTGTGCGTTAGCTTGAAGAAAACATCCCTTTGCCCTGGTCAATTTGTTGCCTCATGACACCTGGAGTGACGTCCAAAGCATCTATTAACCATTCCCTGGGCAATCCAGGAGTTTGTTTGTGAATTATTACTGTTCCAATATCATCTGCTTACATAACTGAATCCACCTGATGTGCTTTCATCACCATTCTGTCTGTCATTAATCCTTTTGTAAATTTGGACCCAGCATCCAGTATCTAGAATATTTCAGAGCCTGCTAAGCATGGAGCCCTCTATTCTTTGTGTCACAGTGCGATGCAACCCTTGTACTGTGAAGGCTGAAGGAAATAACTGCTCCCTCAGAAATATCTTCAGCCTGCAGATTTCAGATTCAGCAAGGTCTCTTCCTGTAACCAAGCACCAGTTATTGGTGCACTTGAGAACAATCCAAACAGTACCAGTCCAGGGTTCCTGAAAATTAACTTTGTCAACCATATTTGCAATTTGTTACACTCTTCCACAGAATGACCATCATTTTCCATAAGTTATTCTGACTTAGCCTCATAAGCTTTTAACAGGCCATCTTTATTGCTGATTTCATCTGTGAACTCTGTTTGAGAGTCCAAAGCTTCATAACTGTTTAACTAAGTGTTCTCAGAAGCCCCTTCTGTTTTACCTTCTTCAGGTAGCAACATTTGCAAACCTGTGCCTTGTGTCCTCATTGCTGCATCCTGTGCGCATCAACCCCGTTCTTGCACATGTTGTACATTTCAAGCTGCAGGAGGGCAAATATACCCCAGCAATTTAAATTTGCTTTCTGCCATTTAGGATTGCGAGTCTTGTGTCCGAAAGAAAAGAAAGTCATAGTTTCCAACTGCCTCTTTCAGGGGACTATCATCAGCTACCACGCCAATGTGTGGATGGCTGATTAATGCAATGGGAGGGCGATGGCCTAGTGGTATTATCGCTGGTCTGTTAATCCAGAGACTCAGAAATGTTCTGCGGACCCGGGTTCAAAACCTGCCACAGCAGATGGTGGAATTTGAATTCAATAAATATCTGAAATTAAGGATCTAATGATGACCATGAATCCATTGTCGATTGTCAGGAAAAACCCATCTGGTTCACTGATGTCCTTAAGGGAAGGAAACTGCCATCCTTCCCTGGTCTGGCCTACATGTGACTCCAGACCCACAGCAATGTGGTTGACTCTTAACTGCCCTCTAGGCAATTAGGGATGGACAATAAACACTGCCTGGTCAGCAACGCCCTCATCCTGTGAATGAATAAAGGAAAAAAAATTAATAAAGGGCACAGCACTGCAATCTCGCCTTTATTCACTGAGGTGATATTATGCATAAGTACTATCTGAACACCCAATCAATATAGAACCAATATGATCAGTTATCTCATTATCAGAAGTTGTGCTCATGTCCTGCTACAATACAATGTCTAACTGTTTGTTTCTCTGTCTCTCTCCAGCCAATCTTTTGACAGTGTACACCATCCACAATAGGAAGTGTGGCATGTCGAAGGTTGCAAGACTCTATCTGATTTCCCTGGCTATTGTAGACTCTATGTGCTTGTTCTGGGGAGGAATTGTGGACCTGAGCTTGAGTTGGCTGGACCCTAACCTTTTCTGGAACCATTCCCCATGGTGCGGGCTGGTCACAGTCATGGAGTATGGCTCCGTATTCAGCTCCATTTGGATTGTCATTGTCTTTACCTTGGAGCGTTACTTGGTGCTAAGGAGCACTCAAGCCAGGCAGCAGTGCTCCCAGACTAAAGTGACCATTCAGATCATCCTGAGTGTCATTCTAGTCTCACATCTGATTGCAATCCCTACCTATTGGATCAACAATTCAGAGTTACAGAATGTCACCTTGTACAACCAGACCTTTCAGCTGCCCATCTGCACTTACAGTGATAGCTTCTTTTCCACCGTGGTGGTATGGTTCCATACGTTCATCTCGGGTGGCATCCCCTACATGCTCCTCATCTTCTTCAACTGTCTGATTGGCCAGCAGCTCTACAGGGCCAGCAGAATGTTCACCCGGGAGCAGCTCAAATCAATAAACGGGGTGACCACTCGCAAACTGATGAAGAAGTCCATCCTGATCCTCTTCACCGTCTCCTTCACCTTTGTGCTCCTATCGCTCCCTCGCTTTGTCACCTACTGCATCCTGAGGACAGCCTACAACACACCAAAGCACAACAGAGATGACTACGGCCAGCTCATCAATGTGTTTGCGGATATCGGTATTATGCTGCAGTGGTTAAATTCTGCCATCAACTTCCTCCTCTACTGTGCCGTCAGTAAACAATTTCGCTCAGAGTTTTTCCTCGTGCTGACCTGCCGGTGTAGGAATGTGAGGACCCCTGCTTCACAGACACCCTTGAAAGTTTATAGTCTTCAAGGAGCCTGGACTGAAGCTTCATCGACAATATTTGCCCAGCATCATTAGTCCATCATCAGCTCCACACACCGCAATGTGTTTCTGTTCTTATCGTAAAAGACCCTCTCAGGAAAGGAAACAGTGATCATAATATAGTTGGATTCCACACAAATTTTGAACCTGACTTATTTCGGTCCCAAGCAAAACTGTGAAATAACTTTAATAGGCCAGTATGAGAACGGAGCCTTGCTGTGTCAAAAGACTAAAATGTACTGCAGTAAATACACTGTAGGAAATTTTTAAAGAAACTGTTCAAAATGTTCAACACAAACACATGCCATTAAACAGCACAAACTGAACACGAGTAATCTATCAGTGACTTACCAAGGAGGTAATATTAGGTGATAGGAAGATGATATTAGATTAAAAGAAGATATTTATAATATGCAAAGAATACTAGTAAACTTGTAGTTTGGGAGCGTTTAAGAAAGGTCAACACAAAAAGTTAATGAAAAGAGGCAGAAAAATGAATTAATTAGCTGGGAACACAAAAACTGACAGTAAGAGCTTTTACAAATCTACAAAAGAAGCAGAGTAGCTAAAGTAAATATTGGTCTCTTGGAGATGACACAGGATTTCTGGAATTAACATGTTGACCTATGCAGACAAATTGAATAGATGAGGCTCATATTCTCTGGATTTTTTTTTTGTTCATTCATGAGATGTAGGCATTGCTGGGTAGACCAACATTTCTTGCCCCTACCTCGTTGACCTTGAAAAGGCAGTGGTGAAATGCCTTCTTGAACAACTCAGTCATGTTTTGCAGGTAGACCCACAAAGCTGTTAGGGAGGGAGCTTAATGATTTTGACTCTACGACAGTGAAGGAACAGCGATAAAGTTCCAAGTCAGGATGGTGAGAGGTGAGAAATTTGCAGTTGGTGGTACTCCCACGTAAGTGCTGCCCTTGTCCTTCCAGATGGAAGTGGTCATGGGTTTGGAAGGCACGGTCTAAGAAATCTTGGTGAATTTCTGCAGTGCATCCTGTGGATGGTACACACGGCTGCTACTGAGTGGAGAGAGTGAAAGTTTGTGGACATAGTGCTAATCAAGTGGGCTGCTTTGTCCTGGACAGTGTCAAATGTCTTGAGTGCTGTTGGAGTTGCACTCATCCGAGCAAGACTTAAAAGAATGAGAGGTGATTCATTAAAACAGATAAGGTCCTGAATGGTCTGGACATGGTAGATGCTGAAGGGTTATTTCTCTTGGCTGTGGAATGTAGAACACAGGGGCTAAGCCTCAGGATAAGATGCTCAATCAGTTAGAACAGAGAGGAGGAGAAATACCCTCACACGGAGGCCTGGGAATTTTGGAAATTATCTGTCCCAGAGGCTTATGGATGTTGCTTCATTGATTGTACTTGAGACTGAATTAGTCAGATTTTTGACATCTCAAGGCATCAAGGAATATGGGGGGTTAGCAGGAAAAGTGGAATTGTTATGTGAGGTCATATTGAAAGGTAGAGCATGATGGAGGAGCTATGGGGACTGCTGCACATGTTTCTGATGTTACAGGGACGTGTTTGAGACCAGCTTGAGGTTTCTGTGGAGAAGGAAAGAAGGTAGAAAGTACACGGACAGGTGTTAGAGTCCAGCCTTTCAAGTTGGACATACCTTTAACAGCAGAAATTCCAGATCTCACAAGATCTCAGTGCCCAACTGTAATTGTCGTGCAGTGTCCCTGTTAGTAACAAGAAGCAATTGCTGATTAGTCTGCGTGCCTGTAAGGCTGTACACCTACATAATTGCTTTTGCTGCCTGTGTATTTAAATTAATGTACATAATTGCACTAAATGCTTGCTTCTGCTTCTGTGACTGAGCACACAGCACCTAATCCATTTTATCGTAAGATCTAAAGAGCTGTAAATAATAAAATTCTGTAATAAACATAAATTATGCTGGAATCAGAGCAAGAAAGGTGAGCCAGCGATTCAGGGACGATCAGATAAAGGCTTATTTATCTGAGACAGTAGCTCAGCAATTCCACTGGACAGAGAGCAATTCCAGAATTTTCCATTCGTTTAACAGAAACGCTTATTTCTAATCTTGAAATGTAATGGTGCGGAATCTTATTGCAGCATTAGCGGGGCTGAGGTGTGGAGGGGGGAGCTCATCGGTGGCTGGAAAGCCAGTAAGAGAGCTGTGCTTATCCCGCCCCACCACAGGCCAATCGGGCAGTGGTGAGGCCACCTATGGGTCATCGTCTGAAATCAAGACCCCGTAGGTGCAACTAAAGACGAGCTGCCGGCCAATCAGTGCCCAGTTCCTGGAATGGGGTCTGACTGCACGGTCAGCGAGTGAGTCTCCCACCCCCACCACCCGCCACCCACCCCAGGTACACCACCACCCTGCCCAATTAAATGCCCTCCCCCCAAGGTACACCACCACCCTGCCCAATTAAATGTCCTCTTCCACCAGGTGCACTGCCACCCCGCCCAATTAAATGCCCTCCTGCCCAGGTGCACCACCACCCTGCCCAATTAAATGCCCTCCACCCAGGTACACCACCCACCACCCTGCCCAATTAAATGCCCTCCACCCCAGGTACACCACTACCCTGCCCAATTAAATGCCCTCCCTCATATACACTACCACCCTGCCTAATTAAATGCCCTTTCCCCCCAGGAACACCACCCCCCACCCTGCCCAATTAAATGCCCATCCCACCCCAAATCTGACACCTCATGGAGCAGTAGATTCCACCCCCAGTTTTGTTTAAGAGTCCACATTTGTTGCTGAATATTTTTACATTGTTGCAAACTTGTTTTAGTTTTAAACCACACACTAGATAGTGAAAATCTAAGTGCTGAAAAGAAAAAGTTTTTTTAAAAATTTAACCTATTTTTCTAATCAACCGGTTCAGAAATGTTAGTGCACACCTCTAGAGAAGGTGAGACTTGAACCAGCCTATGGGTAGGGACACTACCACTGCACCACAAAAGCGCCTTATCAGCCAAGCCATCGTTAGCCTGCACTCGTAACCCAACATGGAGAAGTGATATGTGGGCAGTCAAGGAAAGCAGAATCCAAATTAAGGTGACAAAGTGGTGTTGGTGCAAATGGGCCCAGCAGATAGAAAAGAGATTATAAATCAACAATTGTTTGAAAGTCCTCGAATGGATGACCATGTCCAACAATCGTATTAACAGAAGGCACCTCATAATTCAAGGATGTCCAAGCTGTGAGCAGCTTCATCTTCTCCTGGGGGTCCTTTTGTGATTGAGGAGTCTGACATGTTGGGATCGTCCTGGGTGGACATCCACAGAGCCGACTGCTGGAATTGTTGATCATGCTTGGTGGAAATTCTCCAGCTCCACCACCCCAAGCCTTCTCTTGGGCACCTGGGACGTTGTTTTGCTTTGTACAGATGGTCATTGAGACATGTTTAAGCAGTGACCCTCCACGTGGGCCAGTCAGCTCAAAAAGAGATGGCCACCAACACAGCAGTTTGTGAGGCTCCTGTGTGGTTTGTCCCTGCAGCGTTGTACCTTTGGCTGTATGTTTGGGAAGGAAATATCAACGGGAGGACTTGTTAACTGACTTACAAGGTCGTTGGGTGGGGAGTGGCAGATAGGGAATTAGGCACTGCCAGATGAAGGGAAACAATTTCCAATTTCAGCAGGAAAGGCCAGATGGAAGCTGAGGTCGAAGGGAGGTGGAAAGTTCCATGAGACAAGGGAGCAGATAATGGTTGGAAAAGGAGCCACTTGGTTATGCCTGCACAGGGGGAGCTGTGGGGAAATGAATGGACCAATGTGAGATAGTGAAGGAGATCACTGGTAGGATGGTGTGGGGTCATTTCAAGCCAGAAGGTGAATGTTGCAATCAGTTAGCATGGCCACTGTATCTGCTTTATGTGTGTGAGCCATACAGGACACTAGACAAGGCAATCTAAAGGGAGTATAATTTCTAAATCTCCAGCATCAACCAATGATTCCATACGACTGTAGTTGACTGACCCTTGCCCAGTCTATTTCACACACTTTTCATCCTCCTCCCTTCCAGAACCATTTGGGGCGTCCCCCTAGTCCCCACCTTCCAACACCACCTCCCCCCCCAACCTTCTTATACAGAGGATAATCCTCCAGCACTTCCAGTATCGTGCCACCATCACACAGATGTTGCCTCCTGCTGCTTTGTCTGGGATGGTGTCAAACTTCCTGAGTATTGTTGGAGCTGCATCCATCCAGCCTAGTGGGGAGTATTCCATCATACTCCTGACGTGCCTTGCAAATGGTGAACAGGCTTTGGGAGGTCAGGAGGTGAGTTACAGTTTAATTAAACAACAGTTGTACAAGCCAGTATCCCTACGGCAGCAGCTCCACTGAAAGTAATATTAAATCATATTGAAGAGATGAATCTAGGTTGGTCAAAAGAAAGTCATGCAGAAAGGATTTGCTCTGAGCTTGCGGTGAATAGTGTGATACATCATGGAGCTCAGTCTGTGGCTTCAGCAGACTGTATATTAGAAGGAATTATGCTTATTTACAACTTGATATTCAACTTGCATCACATCATCCTATTGTCTGCTGGTGGCAAGTGTCACGATTTTCTATCAATATGTCACCTTATTTGTGTATTTCTTGTGTTAATGGTCAGGATGTAATTCCATGTCTGCCCACCTGGTGGTGATGTAGATCAGTCCTCAGATGCCTAGAGTTTTTCAAATTTCAGGCATTGATCCTAGGTATTTCTAGAATTTAGGGTGGGTGCATTTACTTTTTGCTAAAACACAATGCATTTAAAAATAATGGAATAAATAAAGAACTGTGGATCCACAAACAGAAATTGCTGGAAAAACTCAGCAGGTCTGCATCTGTGGAGAGAAAGCAGAGTTAGTGGTTCGAATCCAGTGACCCTTCTTCAGAACTGATTGTAGCTTGGAAGAGGTTGGTATCTTTCATGAGGACAAGGTGGACGGGGGTGGGGGGTAGGTGTAAACAATAGGTGGAGATGAAGCCCAGAGAGAAAGAGAACAGCAGTTAGACAGACATTGGGTTGTAGGCTTGTATTCCGCCTTGGGAGCCTACAACCCAATGGCCTCAATGTGGACTTTACCAGTTTCAAAATCGCCCCATCCCCGGCCTCATCCCATGACCAACCCTCTCTCTCATCCCCGCCTCCTTGACCTGACACAACCTGTTCATCTTTTCTCCCACCTATCCGCTCCTCCCACCTCACTGACCAATCCCCACCACTCCCTACCTGCACTCACCTATGACCATCCCACCTACCTTCCCCTGCCCCACCCATCCCCTCTCTATTTATTTTGGAGCTCCCTTCCCCCTCCCCCATTTCTGAAGAAGGGTCCCGACCGAAATGTCAACTTTCTTGTTCCTCTGGTGCTGCCTGGCCTGCTGTGTTCCTCCAGCTACACACATTTCTCTGTGTTTTTTTAATTAAAAAGCTTATTTCCTGGGGCGATGTATTGAATATCAGTACCATGAAGTGACCAGTTCTCCTCATGATTGTATGAAAAGGTCTTCTCTTTATAAGAAAAGTGAAACCCCATGGTCTTTTTGAAGTTTATTACCAGACCAGTACAATCATAGAATTATTGGAAAATTTTAAGTTCCTAGCCATCCCTAAGTGAGAGTCACTAAGCAGCAAAAAGCCAAAGCAGAATAATTAATCTTACTGCCATTAAAAGGCATAAAAAGGCTGGAATTTTCATCCCCAAGAGTAGAAATTGGAGGACCTAATGCTATATTGAATAAAATTGGAGTCAAGGAGTCACCTTGCTTAACTCCTTTCTTGATCCTAAATGAATTAGTTTTACAATGATGGCCCCAGCCTATTCACCCTCTCCCAAAGCTCAAACCCTC